AAAAGCCAAGCAAAATACAACAAAGTCTCAGCAACTGACTTAAAAGCTTAAAAGGGAGCCAATCTAATCTCTCATGGAAGGGAGTTCCACAACTGAAAAGTTTCTCCTAACATTTCATTGAAACTTGCTTCAGTGCAATTTCCACCTGTTTCCTGTGCTCTGGAGCAACATATTCTGCAGAACAGCCCTTCCGACATCCGAACGCCCGTCATGTCCCCCTTTAATCTTCACCACACCAACCACACCCAACTCTTTCAACTGTTCCTCAAAGGACTTAATTTTCACTCCCCTCACCATCTTGGACACCTTCCTCTGGACATGCAGGAATGACATGATCAATGTAATGTCTGTACATTACAATGTCTTACAATGTGGAACTCATATAACACCGTACTTCAGATGCAGTATAGAATAGAGTGGAACTATTACTTTTCATAATCTGCTCCCATTAATGCAGCTTAATACTGCATTAGCTTTTTATCACTCACAATTGCGTTGCTAGCCCATGTTCAATTTATGATCAGCTAAGTCACCTAGATGCCTTTCATGCTGCCATGCCTGGTTTACCCATCCTATATTGGAGATTTTGATTCCTGGTTCCAAAAGGCAGGATTTAACATTTACCTCTATGCAGCATTTGCTATATTTCTTCTGTGTAAGGAAAAAGAAAGCACAAAATAGCACAGGCATGTGGGTTTAGAAGCATAGCTTTAGACTACAGTCTAGTTCTCATTAAGCTAGTAAACCTATGTCTCACCTACACCTCTTAATTGCAAGTATACCTCAATATTTCTACTTGCAGGAGAGAAAGGCCCAAAGAGGTAACAAGGCAAAGAAAAATTAGTAAGAAAAATTGGAAGGAGATAAGCTGTTAGTGTGAAACAAGCCCTTGTTGATGCATGCGCTGTGTGTGCTTATACTTTGGTGTATCTTCTACATAAGGCATTTTGAATGGATGTTGAGTTTTCGTTCCCTTCATTCACGAGGAGAAAAATATTTGTCAGTTCTAAGGTGGTAAAACAGGAAGACTCAAGACAAACCTGTTCTTCGTACTGCTCTCATGAAACAATTACACTCTGAGAGATTAACCAAGAGCTTATTTGTTATTAGTACAAGGACAAGGGCCTATATAATTTGCTCCCTGTCCTAGAACAAAACAGCTATTGTACCGACAGGCAATTATTCGGAGGACTGTGATCAATTACACTGCGAACTGTTTCTGGTGTTTAATTGGGTTCTTAACCATTTAAACTATTAGATTTCATCTTTAGACAAGTCACTTTAATCAAGGTGGAATTGTTTTCTAGCTATTACGGCTCAGAAATGCAGCCTTCATCCTCAGTACTTCTCCCCTGGGATAACTGGTAGATTGTATAATTCAGGTTTTGTAAAATGTTCCAAGATATGGTCAGATTTGTTCTCATGTTGAAGGATCTCTCACAAAAGCAAGCAGGTAGGTAGTTTGCATCTCCCTGGCCAAAAGGCCTTCTAAGTATTCTCCGACCCTTCACAGAAATTAATGTCGGCCTGTGTAGACTCACTCCCAGAAATCAGTTTTAACAGTTGAGCAGAAGTTAAAAGCAAATTAGTTTTCCGTTTTGCTGAACAATTTTGGTTTAATTCACAAAAACATGAAGTCACTTGCACGTAGACAGGAGTCACTGGGAAAACATATGCAGAACCTCACACTCCATTTTAGTAGGACAGATTTAATTCTCAGGCAGGCATACAGAACTCTACGAAACACTGTTAAATAATCAGAAACAACATATTTTTTATTCCAAAAAAAAATGTGTGAGCAAAACCAATCCTTCAAAAATCTTCACACAAGCACCAATTGTAGGACCTCAGAGCCGCATCTTCTCCAAACTACAAGTAATTCCAAGCCAAGTAATTCGCTCTCTGGTGGTCACTCTCAGCACTCTTCCCCAGTGTAGCCCCTAACACTACTTTCTTATACATCCCAAATCCAAACAATAACCTTTTCATTCTGCCTCCCCACTCAATCTCTCCCAAATAACCATGATTCCAACTCACTTGTACTCTCTGGCTTGTATCCAACCAAGTTTCACTCAGAGTTGAGCAGTTTGGCTGCTGCCTTCATCATACACTTTTAAGCACCAGGTGTTCCTCTTCAACCATGCCTTTGGCTAATTAACATCCACTACCCTTTTAAACGTGTTGTGGGAGGGGAGAGTATCGGTTTGTTTTTGCTCTTATTTTTATTATGTATTTTGTGGTTTTATAGTGTACTTTTATGTTGTGAACTGCCCTGAGATCTAGAGGATGAAGGGTGGTATACAATTAATTGATTATCAATGGACCAAAAATAGTCATGTTCATTAATTTCAATGGTCCTATGATGAGTAGGGCTAGCATTGGATACAACCCTCTGTCTTATTCTCTAGATTCCCCATGGCTTTTTCATTCCAAGCAATGCTCAATTCTACTTTTAGAATTGTACTAGAATCCCTGTGTATTCATCTCAGCCCTAAACAGAAGAGCAGGCAAAAGCCACAACTTGTTAGAATCTCAGCAATGAGGGGGATGGGACTGGGGACTGCTCTTTAATTAGTTGAAATTGACTGCCACTGTTTGGCCAATTCCTCTAATACACATATTAAAATGCAGTTATATTATTTGGTTTTATGATTACGTTGTACGCCACTCTCGGTATCTCCCAGATGTTTTTGGCTACAGTTTCCATCATTGCCATCATCCGCCATGCTGTCTGAGGCTGATGGGAGTTGTAGTGCAAAACCTCTGGAGGTCCCCAGGTTGGGGAAGGCTGAACTAGGAGAAGCACTTCTGCTGATGCAAGGCACAGCCCCTGATTTCCACCAGTTCCTCCTACCCAACAGCCCCCTATAAGCTTCTCCCGAGCTTTGGGTGGCCTTCTGTAACAGCGTGGGACAGAGAAATCAACTGGATGTCATTTTTATGGCATCATTCTGTACTGAATTCATTACAACCCTTTGCACATACAAGACATTCCTCTATACATCATTATTTCCACTTTGTAAATGGAAATTGGAAGCTGAGGGATAATGGACTTGATAAAGCCATCCAATGGCCTGGTTTGCACATAACACTAAGCTATAGTTAACATTAATCAAGCTTTATAAACCAACAACGATTTACGAACATGGTTTGTCTGTGGTTAAGAAACTATGGTTTAGCTGCTGGGCTGGGTTCTGGAGATCAAATTAAAGTATGGTATAAGTGCTATGCGCAAACCAGGCGTGTTCATGGATGAGCTGTGATTTGATGCCTGGTCTCTTACGTTAAACTCCCATGCTAAATTTCTATATATCAATCAAGATTGCCCCTGATCAAAATCTAAAACAGTACTTTTATGGCCATTTTGGACCTTGCTTTAAATCAAGCTCATAAAAGCTTTTAAACCAAGTTAGGGTTAGCATAAGTCTGCTTTAGAATGAAGCATTATCTCACAAAATACAACAAAAAACTATGCTTCATTCCACACATTTTTATATTGGTACGTGTGTGCCATTTTTAAAGAGACTTTTGGATTGCTCGTAAGAATAAGCCATTTTTCAGTTTCAGGCTCTAACCATTATTTAAATCTAATTACCTTGCAGTAGTGGTTTTGTTTTGTTTTTTAAGAAAAAGCACCACCACAGCTGCACTGTGGAGGCTGTCATATTCAATTGCTTATGGCTCTATGAGTCATTTAAGAGGTCTCTGTTCCAGGCATTCTATGTAATCTGTTATCAGAGGGTCTTCCCTAGAATTGGAGAGGAGCATGATTGAGGCAGGTTTCTACAAGTGGCTTTTATTGGAATGCTTTCCATTATAATTCTACTATACTATAAAGTATTCAGCAGCATTTAATTTCCACCTGCATTTTACAAACAGATTTTAAGGAACACTATGCCCACATTTTCCTGCAATTACAGCCAATATGATTTTTTACAGCATAAGAACAGAAAAATATAACTAATACAAACAGGCAGTAATAAATTAAATACAAAAACAAAACCAGTAAGATCAAAAAGCAAACAAAACAGTTGCAGAATCAGTCCTCATATCTTGGAACATGAGTTTCACTGCACAAAGGCTTCATTCTCAAAAGATCTGGTACAACAATAGTACTTTTGTTTGCCTCCAGAAAATAAAAATAAAAATAAGGAAGTGCTTATGCCCTTGGGGATGAGCAGTACTAGAGTAGCACATTAGCAGATCTTAAAAGTTCACACACCAGAATGGTGCTGACAGCAAAACCCTATATTCTGATGTAGATGTTCCCAATATGCCATCTCCAATCAACTTCTATGGAAGTTTGCAACACAAAAGCATCCTGTCTCTGGCATGCCCACTGTTTCCCAAGTTCCTTACATATACACATTGGATTTCACACCTGTACACAGCCCACATTTTATGATGTATACTTTGGTCCCTATATATTCTTATGCAAACAGGTTGTTCAATGTGCAGGTGTCGGGAGAGCCCAGGAGGATAGCAGTGGGAGGGCATAGGCCTCACCGTGCACCATTCCTGATCAAACTTTGGCATGCATCTTACATTTCCTTTTTTATTTGGAACCTGTTTGGTCTTGCTCTAAAGGTAAGCCCAGGCATAGCAAATTTAGTGCCCTGCAGGTGTTGTTTGACTCCAGCTTCCTTTGTCCCTGACCACTGGCCAAGTTATCCGGGGCTGAACGGAGTTGGGGTCCAACAATATCTGGGGAAGGTAGAGACCATGTGGGCTACGTCTGCTTTCTCTTTTAAGACAACCAATGCATACATTACAGCAAGGCATTACCAATGATAAAGATTACGGCAAGGCATTGCCGATAATAAACTTTAATCCATCACAGTTATTTGCTGAAGCAGGCGGGGTGATGGCAAGCAGCAATTCCATTTATTTTCCTAAGGCTTTTCTGTAATCTACCTATTTGGCACAAATGCCCTTTTATCAAAACAAACCACTGTGTTCACCTTTCTAAACTGAAACTTAAGAGCTTAGCATTTACTCACCTCACTGTTGTGGCCCCTTAAATTGAAGTTGATGCGTTGCGGAGTGTTCCGGTCTCTTCTACAATGGCTGGAGGTGAACGTAACACCCACAACTCCTCTGCCATTGCCCGTCGCCAGCCAGCCTTCCTCATAATATCGCCTGCGGCATACAGGCTTCTCCTTCTCACTTTTAGGAACCCTGCCTTTCCAAGAAAGGCAGAGGATGTTGGAATCACTACAGAGAACAGGCCCATGTTCCACTGCGGCATACATGCTTTGCTATATATTTCCCTTTTGGCATAAGAAAGTACTATGTCTAGTGCAGAAAATGTAAATCTGACGCTTCTGTTTTATTGATAACCTCAAGAGTTTCGACAGATCAGAATACGAAGTGGGGAGGAGAGAGAAGGTCAGTTTTTATAAATATCCACCAAATGCATAGTGAAAAATTTCTCTATAAAAGATGACGACAGTCGGCTAAGAAAACGTAATGCTTAAAAAAACCAAAACAAAACCAGGTTCATTTTGATTTGGAGTCATTGGAGTGAGGGTACACTTATCCTTTGGAGAAACAGCTACTGCAGAAGAGGCGTTCAAGGAAACGGCAAGCCGTCTTTTTGCTCAAATGGATATAATCATCGTACAGCCTGAGATTTCCAGTATAGCATGATGCGATTCCAGAGACAAAGGTTTGCAGATGTGTGGGTTTCAAGTAACTTAAGGCTTTAAAAATATTTCCTTCAGTTGGATTTTCACACGTTCATAAATCTCGGACATTCATCTTTCCTCAAAGCCACCCTCTGGCAGATCTTCCCCGTCAGATGAAATTTCCGCTGCTAAAGTTGAAATAGATTGCATAAAGGGGTGGGGGGAAAGGCACACAGACCGCGCGAGACCGAAGACCAGAGTTCTGGGCAGTTACCAATGTGCCAAACCAGGTGGGAAAGCCCTTTCTGAACTCAACTGCTCACTGTTCAACCCAGCAGTCTCTGCAATCCAAAGGCTGCCCCATTTCCTTTGCAGCTGGCGGCTTCCCCACCACCTCCAATGCAGTCCCTGTCTATCACACTGCCTTGCCTGCTTCCTCACAACTCACAGCCACATGCAGGCATGAAAAGAAAAGCCCCTTTGCACTTAGCTGTCGTTGTGTTCTTGTTGTTCCTTAAATGCTCTGAACCTTTTAAGCTTCTCAAACAAAGACATTCACCTCATGTAAACTCCAATAGTTTGGGCTGTTTTTATTTTATTTTATGCCTTTGTCTTTTCCCTTTTTTCCACTAGGAGAGAATTGTAGGACTCGCTTTTCATCCTCTTGTTAAAAGAAGTGCCAGAGCTGAAAGCACATCAAGTAAGCGATTATTTGCAGATCCTGATGGATTCAAGAAGGCCAATTAGAAATAGTCTGGGGAGCCGCACAGAAAATCCAACTTCCCTTTCCTTCTACGGTTTCCCATCATGCCTCCTCTGCGCATCCAATAGGTTCCTTCCTTATTGATATTTCTCCAGAGTGCAGATTCATAATTTTAACACGTTTGCAGCTGTAGAATGCGTTTAAAAAGTGTTCCAAATGCTTTGAGTAATATTTATTATCAAATATTTGTAGCATGATACAAGGAACCCAAATAAGAACTGCATTAACAGTAATCAGGAGAAGAAAAAGCAGCAAACCGAGCTGCAAAACTCAATACAGGATGATAAAGTCTGGGAAGCTCAATCCCTAGATCTGTCCCACTGCTCCTAAACTTGCCTGCTTCCAGTCATCAGCACACGATTACTTGTCACAACTTAACAGGCGGACATATGAAAACCCCACTGCATCGATCAAAGTCCAGTGCAGAAAAGCACCAGAGATTTGCGCATTATTCCGCTTTCAGGGATGCCAATATAATCTCCCCTCCGCTCAGACTGTTTTATTTATTTCATAGAGGTATTTGTGTAATTTGCTCTGTGCAGAGGGTGTTTTTCTTATGCTGCTTCTTGGAAGGGTTTTTTCCCCACTTGCCACAGACCGTATGGCAAACTGACCACTAGTAGCAGATGGCATTCCATGGGATTTTGGTCTTTGTGCTGTCAGGTCGCTCCATCTGGTGCTTGAATTAATTTTCATCCATGGCAAAAACTCTCCAAAGTATGCAACTTCCAGTCTGTGGGTTTTCAGAAATGTGTTTGTATATATATGTGTGTGTATGCATACATACAGTATGTACAGGCACTCCCTCAACTTGGCAATTTGGGCTGCATCTGGTGCCGCAGTTTGGCTATGGCAGTCTAGCAAGCCATCTGTCACTTATTTGAGTTGGGACTCCTTGGGTGCTTCCAATTCTGTAAAATAAAAAATAAAGAATTATATATACACACATGTACTGAAATAGCAGGACTGTACAACTGTGCACATTGAAACTGAGGGTGCCAAATGAGATGGCAGTTCTTGTTCAGTATCATGTACTGACAATATACTCTTGTTTTACAACTTTGGTGTGAAAAATATTTCAAAACATTTTTTTTTTAAATTAAATCACATAACATGCAGGACCTGAAAGTGACACAATAGGTTTTAAATAAAAGCAGGAAAGGTGGGTGGGTAGGGTGCATACACTATAGCGACCACTGATTCCAAAATGATGAATGAAACTTGTCAGCAAGTCTGTAAACTGAGAGACAGTGTAGAGTGTTGGACTAAATCTTGGAAAACCAGAGTTCAAGTCCCTGGACTCAGCCATGAAGCACACTGAGATGGTCACTGCCTCTTAGCCTAATGTACCTCACAGGGTTGTGAGAATATCGTCAGGAGATGACACGGAGAACCATCTACTCCACCTTGAACTCCATGGACGAAAGGAGGGATATAAACACAATAAAACAAAACAAAATAAAAGAAAGAGGAATAAACGGGTTGTCAAGCCTCCACAAATGAGTCTTTTGGTTAGCACAAAGCAAAACAGGAAGAGGAGATAATTATTTCTTCAGCTATTATTCCTCGGATAAGAAGCTTCAATTCTTGGGATTCCTTCGACAAAATATTTCTCAGCAACTGCTACTTAACACAAGACTCAGCGTTAGCTCCAAAAGATTAAAAGGTCCTTTTCTGTTTGACTTTAAACATTTGATTCTCAGAAATATGAATAAGCTGCTCTTCAGTCACACCATTACTTGCTCACACTGTCCAGGGTTGTTGTTTTTTATTATTATTATTATTACTACCACTACTACTACTACAGTAAATGAATTTGCTCAAATATGCCTGGTATTAAAAAAGAGGGCACTATAATCCCCTATCTAATACTCAGTATGTTCAAAGGAGCTTTAGTGACTTACCAAGTACAAAAACGGGAGAGAAATAGAGAGCAGAGAAAGAGCAACATAATAATGTTCTGCATTTGGAGATGGAAAAATTCATCCCTGGGTGTATCAGTGTTATCAATTTTTAATATGTTAAACCGAGAATATATACCAATCACATCCTGTCTCATTCTATTTAAATCCGTGGTTCTCCAAATATGGAACTGGGATTTCCTAAGAAGAAGAGAAGCAGTTGCTATGTAAGGCCCAAGCTGCTCCCTGATGCAATCTATACTGTCTTAATTGGAACCAGAAGAACAGTGTCATGTCAATGTTGTGGACAAAATAAGTTGACTGACAGTGCAAGAATCTAACAGTGCTAGCTCATGTTCTTTGCTTCCTTGTGCGCCTTCTCATCTAGCATCCTGATGTAGTTTTCTAGCAGATACCTATCATATCATAGAATTGTAAAGTTGGAAGGACCCAAAGGGTTGTCTAGTCCAATCCCCTGCAGCATCAGGTATGTTATTCTCAGTCCAGAGATATAAATACATCAATATTCTTTCTACTAGTCAACTACTAGCTAATCAACCCTTATTTTACTTTGCCTTAATTGCTTTTGATCATGGCTAGTTACACTGTGCAGCATCCAGCTCATCCCATGTACTTATTCACTGATATTTTATATTTTCCCAGTTTGCAGGACTACTGATCTCATTTACAAACACAGTAGCTGCCACTGCTGACTTTTTCTGAAAATAATTATCTGATTTCTATTATTGTTGTTAAATTTACAAACACAACAGAAATACTAAAACCAATGATAATAAATACAATCAATAGGTGAGGAAACACCACAATGTGCAAATATGAGAGGTCTAGCAGATTCTGCCTCATCCAAAGATGCCACAAACACTTTAAAACTTCAAATTAAAGGCCAAAAGCACAGGTAAAAATGAAAGTTCTGGCCTGTCACCTAAAACTAGATGTAGTCACCTCTGCTACAAATATAGCCACCTCTTAAAAGACAACCTTTTGGTAGTGTTGTGGTAAGTGCAGGATTCTCCCAAACTTGAATACCACACAGTTTTTACAATGTTAAAAACAAAGAACAGGTCTTTGCTACATAGTTGAAACATAAATATTTCCCAATTTTAAACATAGGGAGCTAACTGATGTATACCTAATTCGGCCACTTATCCATCTAGCTCAGTACTGTCAACACCGGCACTCCAGAATTTTCAAGCAGTGGCCTCTCCCACTCCCAGCCCCAACTGGGGATGCTGGATGGAATCAGTCCTACCCTATTCCAACAGATTATTCAAAACAGACCATTCTAATCTCATAGATTGTGCTTTACAAACTTCTAGGTAGAACAGCCCTCCTCTGTCCCTCCATCTTTTTCTTCTTAGCTTCTAACCGAAAAGAACAATTCTTCTCTGCCAATCTTGGCAGAGCAGAGAAGCTTCTTTACAGCAAATAAACATTAATCCCCCCCTTTGAGTGGTGTTTTTTATCCAATAGAAATTAAGTATTCTCAATACCTTCTGCTATTCCATCTCCTCTTTATCCTCATTAAGTGGTCCACCACTTAGAATACATACTACATGCATACTAAAATTGTAAACAACATTTTTTGTAAATTAAAAAATAAAATAGAAATAATTTTAAAACCAAAATTAATGCTTACTCTTTTTCATTCAAATGCTAAGAGCCAAGATGCTCCTGGAGGTAGAATTCTGGAGTAGAGATCTAGTTTCAAATACATGCCAGGTCATGAATTCTCCAAGTGGACTAGAACAAGCCACCAGTTATCAGTATTCCACTTGTAAAATATGAGTAACAGTGACCTAACTTAAAAGTTTGTTGTGACAAAGTCGCAGATGGGGATTTAAAGTTCTCCCACCATCATGCAACACATGATGAACTGGACACTCCATTGATATTGCTAGACTTGCCTACTCAAACACATGACCCACTGAGTTCACTGGGGCTTACTCACAGGTAAGGAGGTATAGGATTGGAGCAGAAATGTTTTGTAACACTCACAGAATCGTCATACAAGATACACTGGATTCTTTGGAGTTTGTGCATGCATGCTCCCCAGTGTAGTCACAGGAGAACTGAACATCAAGACTGCCGCTTTTGATGAAGCCAGTAGCAGCTCTTAAAAGTTCCCTGTTGCTTTGATCTCTGCCTAGAAAGGTGGCTAGGTATAGGTGTCCTAGTTTGCTACTTAATGCTCTAGATTTTTTTTTAGAGTGCGCAAACAGATGACCAATGATAAAGCTCAGAACCCCTCCTCCCCAATGCAAAAATGAGCACTTGTGACTTTTTGCAAAACAGCTCTAAAACAGGTTTCTTCCCATTTCATTCCTCCTGCCAAGTGAAAAGCTGGCAAGAGGACTTACAGGCCTAGTTTCTGGTACTACATAAGACCCCACGGTGCTTACAAATGATCAACAGCTGGCTGGCACTGTGCAGAGGAACCCCACACAGCCACTTTTTCTCATCGACTATCAATCTCATGACTGCTATCTGCTAGAAAGTCACAGCTTTGGCCTTATCTATGGGAGAAAAGAAAAATGTTAAAAACTGGATACAGTATATATTCTGTCATTTATTTTTATATTTATTATATTTAGTGGTTTCCAATTAATACCGTTTACCAGCCAAAGCCAACCAAACTGTTAGAGGAGAAGACCTAGCATGTTCCTGATTTATCCCCTTGTACTCACTGCAGGTTAGAAGAACACACATTTCTAAGCTGCCAGTAGTGTGTGCAAGAGAATAATTCAGGTGGAATCCACATACCTTTGAAATCGAAAGCAGAAGCTCATAATGCATCTGGAATCTGCTCTGAAATTGTCAAGTGGTACTGCAGTTCACAGCAGGCATAAATACCTGGGATTCAATAGATTTAGGTCAATACATTTAGACCATAAATTTTAACATATTTATTAGAAAGACAGTTCCATTTAAATAAATGGGACCTTCCCCCAAATGTAAGGCTTGAATGTTAGAAATTTCCACTGGACAGGACCCAATACTTCAGCACAACTCTTCCCACACATCCTTTGCTTGCAATACATGATGTCCAACAGCTAATACCATACTCAAAGGTATTCTTCCACTTAATCTTGTTTGTATGTTCATTAGTGAATTCTTAATGTTAATTAGTGAATTCTTTTTTATTTTTATTATTTAATAAATTTCTATACCACCCCTCATCTGAAGATCACAGGGAAGTTTAGAATATAAAAATGCAAAAATGGAACAAAAACAATACCCTCCCACAGTTTAAAAGGCCACAGAGTGTTTAATTAGCCAAGGGTCTGGGGGAGAAGAGGACTGTTTTTGCCTGGTGCTTAAAGAGTGGCTGGGAAAACCCAGCCAGATGGGTAGGGTATAAATAAAGTTGTTGTTGTTAAGCAAAGTGCATCAGACGAGCCTCCCTGGGAAGAGCATTCCACAAGCAGGGAGCCACTGCAGAAAAGGCCTGTTCTCATGTTGCCACCCTCTGGACCTCTCATGCAGTGGGCAAATGAAGAAGGGCCTCAGAGGGTGATTGCAGAGTCGGCAAAACATTACCTCCACCCCTTCTCCAGACCCACCTTCACTTTCCTCCTTTCACCTCCCCTTTTTCACCAGGGCCAGCTCTTAAGCAACTGTTTGTCCATTTTGGTCTCCAGGGTAAAAGAGAACCCCCTTTTTCTGGATGTCTATGCAGGCAAATAAAGGTTTCTGTATACTTTCAGGCTCATTCAGAGGCTTCTCCTCAGCAACAGCCTGTGGGTGGCAATGTATAATACTGTGAAGACAGATGTTAAGAAACTAGATTTTAAATAATGACATGTGGCCATGTCAGCTGCAGGTAATCAGTTCCTAATTTTAGAATACCAACCCTGTTGACATCCACTTTGCTGATTAAAACCTTCTAATCAGCCCCTCTGGCCTAAATGACCTGATAGGAGATGGCTGATTTTGCTTATTAACATTCCAGGAGCCTTCTCCTGTTTCTCCAAGCCCACAGTTCATATAAA